TCGGTGGCTCTGTAGCGCTTCCTCTCCCGGTATCTCGCCACCCGATCGGCCATCAAGGGAGGGTCCCCTGCAAACAACCAACCAAAATGTCCGATCAAAACACAAAGTGATGTTACGAAGATACGGGAAAGAACTAGAGTGATGGAAACCGATCTCTCGGTGTAGCCATGGTAAGCTCAAGCTCAGACTCGGGCAGGACCTCGGGTGCAGAAGTCGGCCCTGCCGAGGCCGAGCTGGGGGACTCGTCTTGATCCCGCGGCAGGAACTCGAAGGCCAAGTCATCCGAGTTCTCACCTCTGGAGGGCGAGTCCACGGCAATGGGCTCAGGCTCGTCCGCGGGGGGACTCGGTAAGGGGTGAGGGATCGGGGCACCCCGGGCGAAGCCCAAACCCGCCAAGCTCTCCTCGCTCACCATCGGGGTGATGTAGATGGTTGGGCCACCCCGTCGAAAAATTCTGACGTCTTCTAGCTAAGGGCCTGATAAACATTATTTTTAGTGTTATTTTTAATAATATTTTTATAGTTAAATTTACAATAATTGATTAATTTTATATCTATTTTATTTATTATTGTTATATAAGTAGGTTTGTTAGTATTATTCATTTTTAGGACTGTTTTTATTAAATTTGTTTATTATTTGAATTCTATCAAGATAATATAATTTATTAACCTCAATTAATAATTATAGTTATAATAGTCTATGGTCTATAAGAATTTTAATAAACGTAGACTAATCATATTTGGATTCTAATAAAAGAATACTTCATTTTGAGTCTCGGTCGAAGCCTTTTTGTGCGGCGATTCAACAAAAGCTGTCAACACCACCGTGAGAAAGGAGATCGCAGATGACGTAGAGCCTCTTCTTTGGCCATGCAGTAGCGGGAGCATGAGAAGAAGTTATTGACTAGACAATATAAATAGAGAGCGGTGTTATAGAAGCAGGATCATCAAATTTAACTCTGGACCAATTCCGGAGGCGGAGAATTAGTTTCCAGCAGCTTTGAATTTCCGGCGGTGGTCAGGGCTAATCTAGATGGCAAATCATTTTCGGCGACGACTCTGTCTTCTCGGTCGGCGCTAATTCAATTTTGGCAGCATCTTGGCATAAGAATTTCTACCTTTTCATAAGAATTTCTACCTTTTCTTTAATTTGTTAATTCTTTGTTTTATTGGATTTGCTTAAGTATTTTACAGTTCAGTAGTACTTTGCTAATTGCAATTGATTTTAGCATTTTGCAAACTTCAAGTTTTAGAATTTATTGGCATTTTTATATTGTTATTTTATTTTAGTTTATAAAATCAAGATTAGCACTTTGACTTGTCTACCTAGGGAATCGTGTTGTTTCATCTTGGCTCTAATACTTATTAGAGTTCAAAATGCAGAGTAGTAATGGTTATTCATTCACGACCTTAGGCTTTTCCATTTTGAATGGTAATTATTTGCTTAGCATCTTTTAGTTGTGGTTTAATTATTTTGGCATTTAAATTAGCCTTCGTTTATTCTGAGCATTTTTGTTTTACGTTATTTTAATTTCAAATTATTAAATTGCTTAGTATCAATTCCTTGTGAGTTCGACCCTTACCTTTGCACATTATTACTGCAATTGACCCGTGCACTTGCGAGGACATATTAATTAAAATTGTCCAACAATTTTTGACGCCGTTGTCGGGGAATTGTTTATTTTGCAATTTAATTTGCTGTGTTCTTTTTCTTTCTTTAATTGCTTGATTTTTTTATTTTATTTTTCGCTATCCTTTCATTATTATCATCTTCTTCATTTTTGATCTTGCATTTTATTTAAGTCATTCGTCCATTTAAAAACTGCTTTATATTTGTTTTTGTTTTCGCTATTCTCTTTATTTAATTTTCTCATTTCTTAACTGCTTGATTCTTTAATGCTATCTATTTCTTATTATTTTGTTTGTTTTTCCTTTTTAAACTTGCTCATTTATTTAATTCATTGGTCCATTCTATTTTCTGAAAATTATATTTTCATTCTCAATCACACAAAAAAACCAAAATTTGAAAATTTTTACATTTTAATATGTACTCTTTTTTATCAAACCAAAATAATTCTTATAATGATGATTTCGTACAGGCAAATTCAATTAGTGTTTCTAATCAAAGGCCTGTGCATGACCCGTTTTATAATTCTTATAATTCGGGTTGGGAAAATCACTCGAATTTTTCTTGGAATAATCAAAATTATTTTCAGCCAAACTATCCTAATTTTTATTGGGGTAATAATCAAAATGATTTTCAACCAACTCCACCCCATACCTGAAAAACCATCTTTGGAGGACTCCTTGAATGATTATATACAGGCTTGCAATAGGTGGCAAGAAGCAAATGATCTACGGTTTCAAAAGCAACAAGAAGAACATGATCAATGGTTGCAGATGCAACAAGAAGCTTTTGAGCCCCAAGAAACAGATGAACAACGATTTGAAGAAAATGAGTCTTGCTTTAAAAGAATAGAAACACATTTAGAGCAAATTGCTAAATTTGTGCAAGGGCATGTGCCAGTTAAGTTACCTAATCAACCTGAGGATGCTCTGAATGATGAAAAAAATAAGTTAAAAGATAATATCACTTCTAAACAAACTGAAATAATTGAAAAATTGCATAATGCTGTTGATGATATTATTGTAGAAAATGATGAGCCTCAATTGCATAAATCTGATAATCCTTATGTGCCCCCAGTTCCATTTCCAAATAGGCTCAAAAGTTATGTGCCTGAAACTGTAAGTGAAGTGCTACAAAAAGATTTGCCCCTAATCCCTTTTGATGCTCAAGCAGATAAATTTACCAAAAATGTGTTTGCTGAAACTGCTGAGTTTTTAATTTTTACATCTATGAATTTGTCTGATAAATCTAACCAAATGTTTGCAGTTAAGGGGTTGAATTTTGTTGAGGATGGTAAGTTAGAGTTTGATAAACTCCAAAAAGAAAATCTTTTGAATGACGTTGATAAATCAGTTTCTTCTTGTTATTCTCAAATTGCAGGGCCAAATGATAATTCCACAAATAAAAAATTTAATAAAGGATGACTCTCTTTGTCTTCTTTTCTTTCTTCTCACAACATTGGGGACAATGTTGAAAATAAGTGTGGACTCGGGATGAAACTTGGAGACTCGGAGGAAGACTTGTAACTCTAAGAGGAGCTTGAGAGATCCTTGGTGTGGTGGTGTAGTGAGATGGCCGGAATAGGGGGAGAATGGGGGGTTTAAATTGGAGATAGATGATGGAAAAGAGGGGGAATGGGAAGAGTTGACTAAGAGTTCAAAATTTGAAAAGGTGTATGTGGAAGAGGAAAAGGTGATGGGGATGGGAAGGAGATTTGATGGATATGATGGGTGGGATTCTCAAGATTTTATAAAGAGGGAATTGCATTTTAATAGGAATTCTACCATATCTGGGGAGGATTTTTCAGAAGGAGGTTTTTATCCGCGATAAGAGTTTATTTGAATTGGAGGAGGTCGGCTAATTACCAACTCGGGGTGACCGCCTAGGAGTCGGCTCGCCATGTGTCTACTCTCTATCGTTGTCGACTCATCACAACGAAGAGAGTGGGGGATTCGTGATGGATATATTAGACCCGGAGCGAACCGACCCAGAGAGACGGACCCAAGTCGCCACAACCCGAGACGCCTCGGCCCAAGCCCTTGGGCCGTGGCCAAGTCGACCCAAGCAGCTCGGCCGTGGGCCGGGTCCCACCGCGGACGAGCTCGGTGTACCCGAGCTCGCCACTATGGACCTCGGTTACTGCCGAGTCGGTCCATGGTGGACTTGGCTAGGCTGAGCTCGGTACATGCCCAGCTCGGCCATGCCGCGTGGCCGTACTTTGGACCCGGTCCCGGAGGGAACGCGGTCAAAGCGGCCCGATCTAACCACCCCCAGTTTTGGGGGTGCAGTTGGGGGTTTAGTTGATATAAAAGCCCCCATCTTGTCCTAACAAGGACACTTCATTCTAAAACTACTACTTTATAGTTATTATTGTCTTAATCAAGCCTTGTAATAACTTATTAGCGATATTTAATACAATTTATAGTCCCTACGGCTTTACGATATCCCTGCGTTCCATTTATTTATTCCTATATTACGGTCTTATCCGGGTTCAATAATTCGGGCCACCCCGGGTTAATTAAATCCATCACTCATATTCCCAAAGAGCATGTTTCAAAGTACCTTTCAAAATTTAAGGAAGGAAAAGTATATGAGATTAAGAATTTCTTGGTCATTACTAATTTTTATACCTACAAAACAAGCAGTCATCGTTACATGTTAAAATTCAACCACCAGACAATAGTAAAAGAATACAAAAACAAAAACTTTCCAAGGCATATGTATCGTTTACGACCTTTCCCCAGTTTGAAAGAAAATCTAGCACTTAATGAGAAAGAATTTATTGGACTCCTGCAACAAGCAACAACTCCTTGCCAACAAACAACATAAAAGAAAATACAATATCACCATTAGATTTTGATTAAGAACAGAAACTGGCTAAGTTTTTTTTTTTTTTTTTTTTTTTTTTTTTTTTTTTTTATAGGTTATAAATTTCATTGTTTTGGTTTTTTTTTTTTGGCTGATTAAGGTTTTTTTTTAGATGTCATTCGTAGGCTTGTGGAAATTTATTCTCCTCAAGAAAAGGTTATTGTTGGTAAGCTGTGTAGGCTGGTTGATTTGTTATTGAATATTCACAGTAAGTTATTTTTGGGGGCCTGAGAATGTTTGGAATGCTGTGTGGCACCATCTTTCAGAAGATGCACAATTGAATAGACGAAGACTCTTACCACAAGAAGGTTTATTCCTTTTTTTTTATATCCAATTTTTTAGTGGTTATTTTATTATGTTTACTAATCAATCTATCATTATCTTCTTACATTTGTCTATTGTATGGCAGATTTGATATTATAGACGATTCAAAGAAAAATTTTGCTTTGATTGAATTAGAGCAGAAGTTGTTATAATTGCACAGTAAGTCTTTGAAAGACTTCCCTCAAATACCATTACCGAACTTTAAGGATACATCATTGGTTGAGAATAGGTTGTTGTTTGAGGAGTTGCCGGATGCTCGCAATCCATTTAAAAACTCAGGAGTGTGCATGTCTACAAGGATACCATTGCTTGAATCAAACTTACAAACAGTGTCGCAACTAAAGTAAGTCTTGCTCTCGGCTACAAGCAAATCACTTATATAATCATTTATGGGATTAACAACATCAAGGGTTGGAGCTAGGATTGTGCAACTTTGCAAGTAGTTGTGATCGCATTCACCATTCCTAAACATAAGAAATGTACTCTTGACAATTGTAGCTATCGGGTCACTGATAGAGGACAATAACATTTCAGGAGGGAGGTTAACATCTACACAACCATCATTTGGACCCCCAATTGTTCCATCTCTGATAGATGCAATCCAGTTCGCAAAATCTTCAACTTTTTGTAGATAAACACAAGGGTCTATCCTATTTAAGCGGAGATTCTTTGTCAGCCTAAGCACTTTACAACTATTCCAAAGGTAAGATGAATTTATGGTGGCAGAGACAATATCTTGCCCTATACCTTTGGGTATCACATGCAATATTTGCCTAAAATCACCACCAAAGACAATGGTCTTACCACCAAATATTTTTTCAGCACCCAAAGGATTGTGGAATATAATCATAGCAAATCCCCCTTGCACTTCAAAACAGTGCTTGTGTATCATTTGTGCTTCGTCCCATATGATTAACTTTGTCTTTACAATTAATTCCTCAAGGTGATTGCCTTGTTTAATATTACATATCAAATCTTCATTTAAAGATATTGGTATTGCAAACCTAGAGTGTTAATGAGATTATAATTTAGTGGGTGTGATGGATGGAGTGGAAAAATGTAAACGGAGATAGAATTCCCGAGTGTCGAACTCAAGGATGACAAGTCGGAGTAAATAGGGTTCAAGACAATCACGTATCACAGTGCATTAACAAGAGAAAAACTAGGTACAAGGAGTGTAGGTGAGAGCATGTGTGCAATAGAGTGCAAGTGAAAAACATAACAAAGGAAATAAGAAAAGAAATAAAAGAAACTATAAAATAGAAAGCGGAGTGGATTGGAATTCCCATTCCTTTGTGCATGTGAGGTGAATTTGGGCTAGTGTTGAACTAGTCATGTGAGATGACTTCCAATGTCGTTCACCTCTCGGTTACTAGGTCTTTCATAGGTGTGGAACCACCATTCCTAAAGATAGTTGTACTCTTTTTCCCTTCACTACGTTTTTTCCCTAATGGGTTTTTCATAGTCTAAGGTTTTTAACGAGGCAACTAGCGTAATCTGGACCCCCTACAATCAACTTTGGCTTAGGGGATCACTATGGACCGCTCAATTTAACGGTTGCATTCAAAAGGACCACCACCTAGAAGACTTGACTTTTAGAAGTGGAGAACGATTCAGATAATGTTTTTGAGATATATACTTTCCTGAGACATCGACTTCGCGAAATCTCAAGAAAGTGGGGGACTAGATGATGGATGGTATACTAGGCCTGGGCCACTTGGACCGGCCTAAGAAAGTAACTGGATCAAGGAAGCCCAAGAAGGATACCCAGTACGGAACAACTCAAGAGTTCGTTAAGGATTGGGTTTATTATTCCCAATATAATCAGAATTGGACTCATTATTTATAGTATAATAGAATTAGGTTTTATTATGTAACTAAGACTCCCAATATGAGGCAGTCTAGAATTCTTATTCCTTGTAGGGTTCTAGGCCCAAAATATGTATAAATAGACCTCTCGCACAGAGGAGAGAGGGGACAAGGCTCAACAATTCACGAGCAATACTCATCAATACAACATTCCTATATTTTCGCCATATATTTCTCCTATATTCTCGTTATTATAACGGTAGTGTTGGTCTGCCGTTGACTGCCCAAAAGTCATAAAACCAACACATAGATATATACATACATACATACATACATACATACATACATACATACATACATACATACATATATATATATATATATATATATATATATATATATATATATATATATGTATGTATGTATGTATATATATATATATATTTACTTTGCTAAGCATAAATTTGCATGGATGTTTGGGACTTTCGAATTAACAGCTCACGTGCTGTTTATGAATTAAAGTGAAGAAATCAATTTGGCAAATAATTAGCCGAACCAATTCGCCAAACATAACTCTCATCACATAAGCCGTAAAAATTCCAATCGAAAGCTAAATTGATGAACGGTGAATTACGATCCTTCCGGAAGACATGTTTTAAAAATTTTTGAAAGTTTATCGTCCGCAATTCTCCTTTTCGAACTTTTTCTGACCTTCCGAAATAACATCTCACCATTCTTTGTATTCCCAACTAATTCTCTACCAAACTAAAATAATATTTATTCTGAACCATTATTCTCCATTACTATATAAATTTACAACACAATAAAAACAAACCAAGTCTATTAAACTTTAACGGTTCAAACCTCTAGTTCGGTAAAGGAAAATAACAAAACATAACCAAAGGTTTGTCGTTTCAGCAACCAAAATTGCTTGGATAAACATCTGTGTATATTTTTGTTTTATGTACAATCTACATCCTCTTAAAATCCCAAACTGGGAAATTTTTATGTGCAAAAGCCCTCAACTTTGTCAATTAACACTATAAAAGTTAGAAATTATAAACTTGCAATATATGCACTCACTTTGTATATGCAATCATTTATCATTGTATGTTTTGAACAGAAACACAAGAACTGTTATTTTCATCTTCTTCTATCACATAATAATTCATTTCAGATTCGCAGGCAGCTCATGTATATATGATTAGACATTATTCTTCTAATAAAAAATTTACATGCACTCAACATACTACGGTAGAAAACTAAAAGTCCCGTTATTGTCCACATCTGCATATATAGAGGTGAAATTTTGCACCAAATTGCTGTCAGAGCACAAACCTGAATATTAACTTTTGGCACATTCAATGCCTCTTTGTTTCTATCTCTTTGTCTCTTCACCTCATGAAATGTGTTTGAACATGAAAATTAAATTAAGCATCAGAAAAGTTTTACCCCAGGTACAACATTATCTAAAATATAAAAAATGTTTAGGGAGTATGACTTGGAGGAGTAAAATGGGAAGTACCAATACAAGGCATGGGCAATCTTTGAAAACTTTGTATAAAGAATAGACATAAAATGATAAACAAATTGCAAGAAGTACAATTGAAAGGGGTGAAGTCTATAGAGTACAGTATGGCAGCCTAAGAAGCAACAATGCACAATAGTAAAAAGTCATTCCAAGTCACTTAACCCAAAAAGTTTTTGACTTTTAGTCTTGCCAAAATCTACTTTATATGAGAAAGGATTTGATGCGCCGGCGTTGTATAGGTGCTATACAACGGCGGTGAACCAGAAAGCGCCACTTCATTAAATTGTAAAGTCAACTTTTACTGAACTCTTTTATGCAAATTATAATAATATTAATATAGTATAATGATAATTATTTTCTTTAATTAAAAATAATTACCATAATCAATTAAATACTCATGAATTTGCTTGTAAGGACTTAAAGCTCAGCCACTATTTTTAACTTGATGATGATCAATTACATCTACTTGTACGTGCTTAAGCTCATTCACTATTTTTAACTTGATGAAGATCAAATTCATGAGTATTTGGTTAGTGTAGTGTTTCATAATCCCCTTAACCATACAACCTAGTAAGGACTTAAGCTCAGTCACTATTTTTAACTTAAAAGGCAGTAATCAAGTTTTTTTCTCAAATAACATTAGTTCCATGCTTTTCTATTTAGTATGAGGATTTTCCATATTCTCCATATTTTATCATCATCCCACATCTACTTCGTATAAAACAGCACCTTCATCAGTGTATATTATGATATGAGCAAAAGTATGCATCAAATTTCAGTCAAAAAGGCCAAAATAGACAAAAAAAAAAAAAAAAAAAATTCAAGGAACAACCATCAGTGCACAAAGTACAAAAAATTACGTCTGAAAATGTAATGGCAAAAAATAACTAAGCTTTTATGCGTATTTAATTAACTTTACAAGTTTAAATTTAACATGTCAAGATTTAAATTAATTGATAATTATAAAATTTTAATTATTATAATATGTTATTAAAATAATATATTACATAATATTACATCACATGTCTAGAACTCTTTAACATTGCGCACAACTCGACTGAAATTTAAAGTTTCGTTAATGAACAACAACTTTTCCAACTACATAGTATAAATAATAGTAATTATTTTTATTTTTCACATGCTATGCTCTTGTTGAAGAAAAAAAATTATTAATTACATAAAGAGATTACATTATTGCATAACATTTACAAAATGAAATAACAAAATATAAAACAATTGATTTACATAAGCCAAGAAATTAATGTAATTTAATATATATATATATATATATATATATATATATATATATATATATATATATATATATATATAACAATTGCCTTCAACCTTGAGAAAAAAAAAAAAAAAAAAGCAAACGTTCCGGAAGGAGGCAACGGCAAACGTTGTCTTCTTCCGGTCCGGAAGAGGCAACAGCAAACGTTGCCTTCTTCCTGTCCGTAAGAGGCAACGTTTGCGGTTGCCTTCTTCCGGAACAGAAGAAGGCAACGGCAAACATTGCCTCTTCCGTTCTGGAAGAAGGCAACAACAAACATTGCCTTCTTCCAGTCCGGAAGAAGGTAACAGCACATGTGACGTTTCTTTTGCGAGACCCGGTTCAACCTGTGACCTCCATGCAGCAACCAAGCTCGAGCAGAGAGCAGCAACCGCAACCGCAATCGCAGCCTGTAATGTATCTAAACGTTTCTTTTTTCTTCCTTTGGGGTTTTCTGTGTCAAAGTGAGAGAGAAATAGGGATCGAGCAACAAGCTGGAGTCCAGTTTCATCAATGGTCAACTTCTTAAAAACTTGATGACAGGGTTAATATATAGTAAGTTGATAATTGCATATGGGTAATTGTTTGTTGACAGATTCGTGATACAAGTGTTCTTGTGAGATTGAGACCTGCATGGGAGGATCGGATCTCCGAAGATACTTGACTGCAAGGGGTAGGAAGCGTTTTGAAGTCTATGTTTGCACCATGGCTGAAAGAGATTATGCTTTAGAAATGTGGAGGCTTCTTGATCCAGATTCAAATTTAATTAGCTCAAATGAGCTGTTGAATCGTACGTATAGTCTGTGTCAAGTCTGGTAAGCTGGACTATGTTTTTAAAAACAAAAAAAAAAACAAAAAAAAAATCATTTTATTTACAGAAAGTTGTCACAGCAAAAATTAGAATCTGAAAGGTTCAATTTCAGCATTCAGCAAAAGAAAAGAGCAAAAATTATAAGAAAAAAATGAATAAAATATATAGTCAAAACAGATAAATAATTGTTTATAGAACACAATACCTGGAAACCTGTATTGGGAGAAGAAGGAAATGTGTAGAAGGGCTATTTTTGTCTTTTTCCCTTTCCGGTAGTTATAACTGCCATCCTTATAAGAATGGCTGGTCTACCGTAGTCAAGGCTTGTAACTCATATTTCTTCATCTTCAATCCAAGCATGACAAACTCCTTTCATCTTTCTCCGTTCGGTTAATCACACGCCAATATGGTATCAGAGCACTCACAGCCGAGCTCTTATGCTGCCGCCGTCATCGGTGGTACAGATCA